AAGCAAGAAGGGGAGATATGGTCAAAGGGTAATTTTCCTGAGTCAGGGAATTCTCCAACAAAGCCAGAAACCTCATCTCTGCTCCAGCCCAAACTTCACAAACTCCATCAGGGAAGATGGTGTAAATAAATCCACAGAGAACCCTTCCTAGGGTGCAGTTCCATATGCATTTCCCTGGGAGTATTTCTATTGCACCAGAGCAACTCCTCAAAGGTGGAAAGCTTACAACAGCTGAGTCCATTTGGCTTAGAAAAATGGTAAGGGGTGATAGGACAGAGGTGGGCAAAATCACAACTGGCATGGAGAAAGAGGATGGGAAGGTGACTTTTTCCCTTTCTGGAAATACAAGAATGAAGCTGATTCACAGGAGAATCTGGGCAGACAAAAAGAAGAACTTCTGCACACGGTGTCCAATCAAACAAGTCACAGGAGTTGCAGTGATGGGCATCCACATGGTCAGCTTCACAAGAGGGTCGGACTAATTCAGGGAGCTGTTGGTTATCTGTAGTGCTGGTCCTGGTGGCAGCATGCTCTCTCCAGCATTGGGGGCAGTATGTCTGTTGCTGGAAAACATGGGCAGGAGGGTGCCAGTGCGCTAGTATACCTGAAGGATCACCTCCTTCCCTTAAGATCTGAGGCGGGGGCCCTGCTCCAGGAGCCCTCCTTGAAGGGGATCAGCAGGGTGGCTACCCAGAGGAGGGCCTTCTCTGCAGTGGCGCCTCGACTATGGAATACGCTTCCCAGGGAGGTTCACCTGGCGCTGATACTTTATTCCTTTCGTTGCCAGGCAGCCCCCTTTTTATCTTCCCATTATTTTAATGTCTAATAGGTTTTAATCTGGGTTTTATTATACTAAGGTGTTGAATGCTGTGCTTCATTTTATTTTTTGCTTTTATTCTGAAACTGTCCCAAGACACCAGTAGTTGGACAGGTGATAAAAGGGGTGTGAAGAAGTTATAAGCAAACCAAACAAAAATGGATCCCTGCCTTCCATTACATCCCACCCTTTCCAGCACAACCCAGAAAATAATTTCTGCCAAACAGCCTTGGCACAAGCTTCGGGACTCAGACCCTCCGTGGGTCCCCAAACAAATGAGGGGGGGCAGGCCTGCATGTACTGATTCATTGAAATATTGCCATCCTGAACCTCTCATTCCCTAAGATGCCAAAGAATAACCCAAGTTAACAAACAAACACCCCCCCCCCCAAAAAAAAAGCCTGAGCAAAATGAAGCCAGGAAGTGAAGCAAATCCACATGTGGCCAGTGAACTGTAGCTCAGGCTGGATAGATCCACCCTGAAGCTTTTTTCTTTCTCTCTCACTAGCAAGGGACTTAGCTTCACATGGGCTGGAAGAGTCCTTAGTTTAACGCAGCCAAGCCTTTCGGCAGACTTACGCAGCAGCCAGGACTGGATCTCTGTGCTTGTCTTGTCTGGGCAGGGCCATGCCTGGTGGGCCCCAGTAATGGCACACCCCTACAGGCCCCTGAGGGAGGGGTTCATCTGCACCATCCCCTGAGGGTAGATGGAAGGGGTAGCCATAGGACTTTGGACCAGGGCACCATGGAGAATTGAAATGGGAGCCCCAAGGTACCATGGAGCAGGGCAGCCTTCAGAAACGGGGCCCTGGTCACTGCCTAAGCATACTGGGTGCTGACGCTCACTCTGAGCTACATCAGATCCCATTTGCTGAAGAGTTGTCCTTGTGTCAGTTCTGAGCTGTGGATAATCACTGGGAGAGAGACCTGGAGATGGAAGACTGCACTTGTCTGGCCAAACCCCAGCCTGACCTTCCAGTTGCGACAGTCCTTTCTTTGGTCTGGTGGAGCTAAGGGGACGTGGCATCCGAGGGAACTCTCTGCTTTGTCCCCGCTGGGGTAAAGATCCAAAAGTTCAACTTCCTAGCCCTGGCCTTGGCCATTGCTGATAGAAGCTTTGATTTATTTATTTTGCTCTCGAAAAGTGCCTGTTACTTATTCTTCAGACAGCAAAGGGCTAGGTTGCTAAGATACTCATATTTGACATCATATCCTTCCCAAGGTGTTCCCACATTTGACAGATTCTTGTGATTTACTGGAACGGGCAGCTTGCTGTTTGCTTGTCCAGTGACGTTCGTAAAATCATTTGAAATTCAGATTGTATCGTCTTCCCCTCTCAGCCTTCCCTGGCCTCCTCCCAGCAAAGCCTCAAGACACCACATGAAAATACTGAAGCTGCTTGCAGGCTTTCAGACACATTTGCACGCACACAAGACACCGTGCCAGTATTTTTCAAAAAGCAATTCTTCACCTGAGGTTCCACACTCTTTTCCAGCATCATTTGACAGATCAGAAGCAGCAGCCATTGACTGGGTGGTGTTGAGGGGTGGGCCTGCCAGGATAAACCTATTAGTAGGCTAATATTGCTTTGTGAACAACTCGCATCAGCTATGGCTGCTTTGTATTAAGTCGATTAGTGCTGTTGGTGGAGCTTTTTTTCCCCTCCCAAATGCTATGAGAAAGGTAATACTGCATATAATTTACGCGGTCAAGGGCATTTTCACCTGCTGATCAATTTACACATTCTCCAATGTCATTAGATTGAAGCTAGTCATCAGAAGGAGAGAGGACAGAATAAATTACAGACTTTTGCTCATTTAACTCAAGTCATTTTCTTCTAATTATAGGCAGGTTTTGTTTTGCTTGAGACTACGAAGCTTTTAATTAATATCACACCTGTCCAGCTATTTGTTCGGAAGGATGGAATATATGTTCCAAAGTAGAATACTACTGTTCCTGGCATGGATCTCTGTGGGGACTACTAAAGTTGGCTTGCAAAGGATAGCCATCCCCATCACCACCAACTTGAGGTGACTTCTGTACGGCCGTGTGCCGACACATGGATTAGCTGCATTACAGCACAAGAGCTCGAAGCACCAAGAGCCTTTCCCTGTGATATTCAGCAAGCACAAGTGACCTGTGACACTTGCTATTGTTCTTTTCTGCATGCATGCATGGATTTAGAGTATTCATCAGCCACTTCTACTTAGTGGTGTCTACAAATCACAACTATATTAAAGAGCAAACAGAGACCAGAGCATCCAGCAGATCCTATCAACATACCTGGAAGTTGGTAGTCAAAGGGCACAGACCCAGGAAAGTCCCCCCCCCAAAAAAAAGGTGTCTGAGGTTATGGGGGGACAGGTGGGAGGTCACCTTTGGGATGGGAACCAGGAGGTGTTCTCCGGGGTGGGGAAGGGCGAAGTGAGCCCAGCCAGCTTCTGCCATCTTTCAGCACTGCCTCAGTCCCTCCTCCTCAAAGGGGCAGGGAAACATTTAGCCTGCTGGAACCAGCTGTCTTTTCAGTCTCTTACCTCTCCCTTGGTGACAGCCTTGCATTCCATGGGGCAAAGCCATAGAGTGTGGGGAGAAGCCCATCCTTGGTGGGCCATCCACAGAGGCTTCACCCTCACCTTTCCCCTCTGCACCCCAAGACCAGACAACACCTTGCAACCTTGCGTCATCTCTGGCTAAAAGAACAGCCTGGCCCAGGCTCAGGCCACTGCAGTGTGCAGGCATGGGCTGGACCAGGGATGGATGACATGCAGCTGAGAGCTAAGTCTGCTCCCCTGCACCCCTACTGGAATCCCCCAAGTATTAAAAATAGTGTCCAGAGCAGCATTTAGAAGCCCTCCCAACCCTTTCAGGATAAGTTGATATCAAGTCTTTAGTCACTCTGTTGGCACTCCGGATATAGTCCTTGTTTTCCCTTTCCCAGCGCCATGTGGGGCATGGCCCTTGAGGGCAAACACAGCATAGCAGCTGGACTCCTAGATTTACCCATCGCTGGGCTGGACAATGGCTGGCTGCCCAAGGCTTTGCTTGGCACAGCAAGGCATAGCATCGCAAGCTGGGAAACTTGGCTAGGTCTGATTGTAATCCAGACAGACAATAATTCAGGGGCTTTTAAAGCACTCCTTTCTTTTGAGATGGGCTTTAAGGTGCCCCCTAACTTCAGTTTCCAAGTGTGAATCAGGAGAACTTCATTGGTGTTTCTAGGTAAGGGTGACATCATGCAGCTATTTTTTGAAACAAGCGTTCTCTTACTGTCATGAAAAAGCATATATCCTACTCACAGGACCTGCAAAAAGAGATTGCAGCATGAAAGGTCCCTGTTTGGGGTCCGAATCCTTCCACCATTCCCTCCCTCAAAGATAAGCTGTTCCATTCTCCTTCCTTTGCCACCTGACTCTACAATAGTGAGCCAAAGTTTGAAAGTCACTGATTTTGCTCAGTTGGGCTGTTTCTGCCCCTCTCCACCAGAGTTTCTCCCTAAATATATTTTGTTCTTTTGCAAACCTTTGGGTTCGCTTTTGAGTATGTTTGGCCACATAAGGCTCTAAACACTGATCATGCGTTTGCTATCGGTATGTAGAATTTATTACATTGTAATGCCACCGTTCCTCCATAGAGCTCCGGCTGCAATGCATTTCCATCTCTCCTGAAGTCATGTTAACGGTAAATGTTTCCCCTTGGCGTTAAAGTCCAGGCATGCCTGACTCTAGCGGGCGGTGCTCATCTCCGTTTCCTAGCCGAGGGAGCCAGCGTTTGTCCACAGACAGTTTCCATGGTCATGTGGCTGGCATGATTAAACACAAAAGTGCACGGAACACTGTTACCTGCCCACCGAAGTGGTACCTTTTTATCTACTTGCATTTGCATGCTTTCGAACTGCAAGATTGGCAGGAGCTGGGATGGAGCAATTGTGGAGCAACCCCGTTGTGCAGATTCGAATGGGCAACCTTTTGATCAACCAGCCCAGCAGCACAGCAGTTTAAACCACTGTGCCACCTGCATCCCGGAAGTCATGTTAGGCTGTGGGAAATCCATTGACTTGAAATCACCTAGCAAACTTCATGGATGAAGGGAGATCTGAACCCATATTCTGGGTCTAGGTCTAATTCTCTATCTACTGCACCATTTAAGGCTCTCGGTATCATGAGGGAGGAAAGGTTCAACTTACCCGTAATATTTCCTCCACACAGCTGGAATCATTGGGAAGGCTAACCTAGAAGGGGTGGAGGGGGGAAATGAAAAATGCGGTCAATCTAAAAGTAAACAGACTTGAAAGATAGCGGTAAAACGAGAAGGCATGCAGTGGGGGTGGGGGGCAGAATGCAATTATGAAGGAGGCAGTGTGGGGGGCACAGACCAGTTGTGCATGGGGTCAAAGGTAAAGGGGTGTTGCCAAAATGCTAACAATACTGCACTATTTTAGCTTAAAGCTCTTACAGCCAGTAAGCAAGACTTAAGAAAAGCATTTCAGTCTTTGTAAAAGGAGAAACATTCATGAAAGCTGGGTGACCATGGAAAGGTCAGGAACAAGAGCCAAGGGGGAGGGGTTGAGGGAATGTTGTGGCCATTTGTGGAATTTTGGAGGGCCGGTTTGGGACCCCATATTCAGCTTGGAGAGCTGAGATTCAGTCCCTGGACCTACAGGATTGTCAAGTCATGGGAGGAAACAAATTTTCTGGTATATTCATGAACAACTTCATTTAAGCAGCAAGTTGGTGATCTGACATTATACATTTTAAGGACTGTCCTTAGTGCTTTAGGAAACTGCATTTTCATTGCTGCTGCTTCTATTTTGTTTTTATGCGCTGTGCCATATTTACTCTTTGCTGCTTGGTTTTAAACTTGGTTTTATTATATGTTGCATCTTATGTTTATGTAGGGTACAACACCCTGAGAACCTGGCTCACTGGACAGTTTACAAGTGTAATAAATAAATAATCAATAGTTTCCAATCAAAATCAAGCACAGTTCATCAATGAAGAGAAAGCATTCCCCAATACATCATGTATATAACTGTCTTGTAATAGCCTATTTGCATATTTACATATGCCCACTGAGCTGAGATTTTGAAATACTTCATGGCAAAACTCATATAAATTTTGTTTTAAGATACATAAGTTGAAGTGGTGTCTTGAACAAACTTATTTCCCATTCCCAAATCTAGTTTTATAAAAGGAACCTGTGTGAGAGAAATCAAATTACTGTGACCACCATGGGATGGGGACAACAATAAGATAATAATAATTGTCAAAGGTTGAGGCTGCAAAATGAGTCAAAGTCCTTTTTCCTGCAATGCATAACTTAAAATGCTGAAGAAGTCTGGGTTTCAACTGGATTTTTATCCCCCACCCCCCAAGTTACATTTCCAGTTAAACCACTTTGATCTGTCAATGCCAAAAGTCATGGCTAAATGCACTGCTAAGATCCCAGGCCTTCACTAAAATTTGGAAATCTCTTAGATTTTTCGGTGCTTACACAACACATCCCACTTCTTAACTGCTCCCTAAAATGTAAAGAAGCGAACTGGAGATTCTAAAGTAGCTCACATTTGATTTATAAATCAAATTAATTAAATTCTACATTTCCAACAGCATACAGTCCAACTTCTAATGCAAGATCTAATTAAAGAATGAGGAGAGCTTTTTTAAAGAAAAAGTCCCCCCTCCAATCTACATATATGCTCACACAGACACAAAACAAGCTGCTAGAATTGGAACACAGAAGTAACTGTTTAGCCTCAAATTAATGAGGCATTCTGCTAAGCAAAAATGTCCATAAATCCCTAATGAGGATTTTAAACACATTAAAACTTCCTAATACAAAGTGTTTGCTTTTGTTTTTTATCTAATAACAAATAAGCCAATAATTTCATGCCTCTAAATGACACTATTAACTGTCAAGGCATGTTTTATTTGACTATCACTCCATTCAAATACAGTAAAAACCAATTAATTTGCCTGCTGAGAAATGTTTCTTGATAGCTTTTATGTGGGCTTCCCCCACCCCTTGAAAATGCATGTAGGTCAATGGACGTGTTGGGTTTTACCTTGCAATAAGCTATAGATTTCCTATTCAGTTTGCAGTTCAAATGGATGGTAAGAGAACCTCCAAATTTTGGAAGTTCATCAGTCACACAGCATCACCCTGGATAAGTAGAGAATTTCAGGATAATCATTTTATGACTAGTGAAATGGTTCAATATTTAAGATGGGATTGGTACAAAATTACCACGAGTGCTTAGCCTTTCCTCTTTGCTAACAGCCTTGCTAACCATGTCTCACCTGCTGAAATCCAGGAACATCAAATTTATCCTTGCAAATGAGTTTTTAAAGTAATATCTACCCATCTCTCACCTAGAGGCAGGTGAGAAAATATTTCAGTTCTGTCTTAATAAGAACTTTGCCAAACTGTGCAAAGTTCTCCATAGTCAGGACAAAGAGACTTGACATTTAGAAGATACCAAAGTGGGAGAAAGTAACGCTGAGAGCAGAGTCATCCATCCAGGCTCATGTCTTTAAGTGTTTAATTATTATTTTAAAATCTGGATTCCTGGTGTATTCATCCATTCAGTGATGGCAGTGCATTGGGGGGACGGGGAACACTTCTTCCCTCTGGATGGCTCTTCTCCAGGTTGGGGACAGCTAGATCTATAGACTGCGGATGGTGCAGGTGGGTGAATTTGGGCTGGTTTTTGTTCAGAGTTTATCAACATTCACAATATTCTTCATATGGGGGAGAGGATGGAGGTGTGTTTTTTAATGAATGGGGATGAAACGGAAATGGATAGCTCCAACAGTCCTTGCTGTCTCTCTCAGCCTGCCTCCTCCCAGGAATGGCAATACTCTGACATGGTTGCATCTTCTGGTCCTTTGGGCAGGCAAGAAGGTCTATCTTTTCCATAGCTCTTTGACAGCAGAAGGTCGCCAGTTTCTTGGCATCTCTTGTTCAAGGTCTTGGGCTAGCAAGGCAGAGGAAGAGCTGTGCCCAAGACCGCAGAAAGATCCTGCCAATCACGGCAGACGGTCCTGGGCTACATCAACCTTGTCTCAGTGTAGGCAAGATCATTGGTTTTTCTTTACTATATTTTTTGTATCATTCCATAGCCAAAGCTCTCTGAGCAGTTTGCAAAAGGTCGAATTGCTAAAATATGCAAAACATAATATAAAAACAATTTAAATATGCAATTGATTTAAGATTAATTAAAATCCTAGGACTGGTGGAAACTGCATTATATGCTGCCAAGAGCTGAGGTGTAGAGGAAAATCTGAAAGGATGGCAATGAAGGCATCAAGTGGACCTTACTAGGGCATATTGGGTCTAATGCTGTCTGCGGGGGCCACCACTGAAAAGGCCCTCTTCTAAGGGACATTTGGAAAATGGCAAGAAGAGAGAAGGCCTTTTTGGTGGTGGCACAACGAAATGTTCAGCTATGAAAAGTTCTCCCCACTGAGATTCCCCTTGTACCAACACTGTCATCCTTGCAGCAACATGTTAAGGCTTCCCTGTGCTACAAGGCATTCGACAGCATAGGATAAGATTTGTCCTGCGATTTTTACTGTTGATTGGAATTTCCTTGGTGGCACTAAGATAAGCAGAGATTTTACACTGAAAACACCATCCTTATTCTGAAGTAACTTATTCTGAAATTAGTCCCACTCTGTTTAATGCTGTTTAGTCTCGTGAAAATATGCATTTGATTACAGCCAAAAGTATTGATTCCAAAAGTTCATTTTTCAGAAACAACTTCAAACTCACTGAGAGTCTTGGTGAAGTTCTTTTTTTTTTATTTTTCTGCAAATTAAAGCAAATATGCATCTCACTTGTAAAAAAAATATCATTTTATCACAATCAGCACCAGCAAAACTGGTGTCCTATTGTGAAAATCATGGTGCATTTTTAGAGGAAAAATAATGCACTGCCCCAGAGACACATTAGAAGAAATCACAGGGCCTTGACATGGTTTAGGCATGGGAGAATCAGATTATTTCGAATCCACGTCTGTTTTGCAAGCCTTCAGTCATAATTGTTCTATGTTCTTCACATTTTAAAGGAACAGTTGCACAATAGATATTCAGTCTCACAATTAGTTTTCCCTTAACTTTTGGCATGTTGTGTCCAATCTCTGCACATTTTTGAGATTTTTGCAATAAAAATCTGAGGACTGCCCCAACAAAAGGATATGTCTGTTCTGATCTGCATGTAAGTTTGAGAAGTATGAATTACATTGGCTTGCTTAAAACTGCAGGGAGAGTGATATTTATTACGGTATTAAAATATGTATCATCATTTTGTCATCTATTCATAAAGGAAGCTGATGGATTTATTCAGTATTCTATTTCTTTGTACTTGATTATTGCTGGAATAGCCAAAGAAGACCAGCAGTTCTTTCCAAAATCTATTCAGAATGGAGTGCCAAGGAGTTCTTTTTTTTGGCACAGACTAGGTGTGTTCACCAGACGTGCAAGTGTGACAAATCTAAGATCATAAAAGCTCTTTGCAACTCTATTAGAATGCTTTCCAACTGTTGGGTTGTCCAAAGACAGATCGGTTTTTAAGTGGAAATCCCCATTTATATCAAAAGAGGCTTCAGCTGGCAGCATCTTTCTTTTTGTTGGAAAACGTTGAAAAATGGGCTGCAAAATACAAACCATTTGCTGAAAAGAATGTCTCTGTGCAGGCTAGGACTGAAATCATTCTGATGGGGAATAAATTAAACAACTGATCTGAGATAAAGACAAACATACAAAGATACAGCCTTTCTGTAAATATATCAGTTGTGAAACCCACTTATGCATTTCCAGAGGGGTAGTCCTGTTATTATGCTGCAGCAAAATCAACAAAGAGACTTGTGGCACCCTAAAGACTAACAACTTTATCCTGGTTAAGCTTTCATGGATGTACATCTACTTCATCAGATGCTTGCTGTGCTGAGTTACAAGTATATACACAAGCATGTGAGAGCAGTTTAAACAGTCCGGCCTGAGGCGAATGAATGCAAAATTCAGTGAGATGCAGAATGAAATGCAGTGATAATGATGCTATTAACAATGGCCACTCACCGAAGAGTGGCTGGAGACTTTCATTGGTGGGCTGCTGATCACATGCAGAATGTGAAAATAAAACAAACAAGCCTATAAAAACCATTCTATCTTATTTTATCCTCTTCCTTCTCTGTTTTAATAATGGCTTTCCTGCAATTATGTGTGGAAAGCT